AAAAAAAAAAAAAAATGGATTAAGGGGGTATTATTGTCTAAAAGTTTGTTTTTTCGGTAATTTTTAGGAATTAATTTTGCGAAAACTATCAAACCTACAGTACCAGGGTTTTTTATGCATAATAAAACACGTGTCAACTAGCGACACAAATTTTTATGAAATACTTGATTGAAATCTATATACGTTATGCGCTTGTTATGCAGGTTGTGGCGTGAGACGTTCGTTCAATCGAGCGCACAGGCTCTGGCGGTTCTAGTTGTCTGAGACAGAAAAACAAATATTTTTTTTCAATCTATATGAATGTAGTTATCGTCTGAACTAGAATTAAGTAAGTAGTAAATTTTTTATCGGAATCGCAGCTGCTTGAAAATTAAGGTTTAACTTTCCCGGGAAATTGTCAACTAAAATATGAGAGCAGGGCTAAAATATTCAAGCTATCGGTATAATTCTTCAGTTCAGACCATAGGTGATGGTGCCCTCGAAATGTGTGTAAAATCAGAAGTCAGTCGGTTCAATAGTTTTTGAGAAAAACATGTGCCCGACACATGAAAAATGTCGTTTCACGAAAAACGCGTTTAAAGTTTGCTATACATTTAGCACCAATACTAGTGAATAGCCTTTAAGCCTCTGTAACTATGAGAGCTCTACGAATTTCAAATTAATATTTTAGAGGCACTTTCTCGAAACCCCAAATGATAAGAATAATGCAAAAGAAAAAAGAACGAATTTTTGAAGTTTCTAAACGATAATACCCCCTTAATATGAAGTATATTTTAAGTGATATTTGATTTTTCAAAATTGAAATTAAACGATTTCTACAATTGTTTAATTTTTGAAAGTGGTATAAGTCCATTTGCAGCCCGTAAGTGTACATCAGTTTAGTAAAATACGCCTAAAAAATTACATATTGATAAAACGGTAGAAACATTGCCAGACTTCATATAATTTGCCTAAATTTTTTAATTGACAGATATGTTAACCTTTCATTTTCTCGAAACAAGAGAAAATGGAGTTGCACCACTTTCAAAATAAACGGTCCAAATATTCAAGCTGGACGTTCCACGTTATCGTCTCACTCTGTATATGAGAATATTCAATGCAAATAGAGCTAGTACACGCGGCAGCGTACGGAAACGATCACGAATGCAATTATTCCAAACAGAGTAGCTGGATAAGTACGTGGAATTATCTTTGGGCTACGATAAAAGATAAAACTTGAGAGAATAAAAAATTGGTCGATGCGGAGTCAGTATAGGCAAGCGGTGATCCGTCTTGGGTAGCCACGGCACCGTGGGTAGGGATTATAGTCGCGCACGCCGTGCTTGCCAAAAGACCACAATTTTAACTTACGTCGCGACTTACGCGACGAGTGGTGTTCGGTTCCTGTAAATTCATCGAAAGGCTAGCGACAAAAAATTGATTCCGTTCACAGTGGTTAAAGTGTAATCGAAGTTGCGTTAAAGTCTCCGATTCTCATGTTTTTAAGTGCAATAAATACCCAGACGTATCGATCAAGTGATTTCCATAATCTTCGAAGTGAAACAGTAATATACGATGCATCGATTTTTATTGTTTTGGGCAATTGCTGGTTTAGCATTCGCCTATCAAGAACTTTCACCGCTGATCGAATGCCTGATGACCAGTTTTAACGTGAGCAAAAGAAATTACGTTTAAAAGATACGATTGGCGCGAATTCGTGACGCGAAGTCACTGCGTGGGTTGTGCCTGTCAAAATAAACGAAACGGTTGATCGAATCGAGTTTTACTCGAGCCGAGTGAGTTTAAAGTTGCGAGCTTACTGTCGTCGATGAACTTAGTAACACTTTAATTGCTTTGTTGGAATTTATTTAGAGTAAATGTGGATAATCTAGTTCGTAACTGTGGATATAGTAATCTAGTACGAAAATTATTGCTGATATCGACTTAATTTCGATATGATTAAAGTACACAAATAAATTATTAACGAATTTTAATAACGAGATTTTAATTTTAAATAGCGCGAGTTTTTAACGTATTCGTCTGTTACTTTGTGTAACAATACAAAGGATCTGTGTAAAAGGAGTTTAGGATTTCGTTTCTTAATAAAGCAGAAATGATAACTGATATTTTGATGAAAATACCGTTTATTACATTTGCTCGTAGACAATTATGAAATACATACAATGCCATAGGATTATATTGAAAATGCAACAAAATTGGTCCTGTTATTCTTAGTGAGATATAATTATAACAATATAATTGAGTATATATTAATAATATACGGATTGAATATACACTTCAAGTGACAATCAATTAAAGTCAATTAATAACTACGTCATTTAATGATTGTAATTGAGCATAAAAAATTACATAAAAATACAAACTTAACTAGTTTTTACTCAACAAGTAACAGTAAACGACTTTTATCGGGTTGTTCTTTGTTAAGGTGTACAACTACCTCCTCGCGAAATGATCAACTGTTTTTAAACTTAAAACACTTCCATAAGAGAAAAGACAAAAAATAAACTGAATATGAGTAACGTGAAAACAGGAATGAATTTACTTGTCCTTCGAGTTTGATCTTGCAAGAGAAAAAGGTCGTGAATGTGTGTTCGTGACGTATTGTAAATTCCGTCAACGATCCAAGATGGAGGGATCGTGCGCGCGGATCGATCAGATTTTCCTGCTCTTGAATACCTTTAACATATATAAATACATCATTGTATACATCAATGTATTCGTATGGAATCTCCATCATTTTGAATAAATTCCCCATGAAACTGTTTTTCAGTAGCGTTCCCTGGATATATTTACATCTCTTTCTCGAGTCCGCTTTCTGCGCCTTCTCCTAATATTTAAATAGCAAAAAAATCACCTTCGTGGCGACTATAAATAAACTTCAATTGCATTACTTACAGAGCAAAACTGTTACGTAATCTCAAACGAAGTCTATTTCACAGCACTATAAACAATTCCCAGCCACGTGATGTTTCATTTTCACTTCCTTAATAAATTTGTACAAAGTTTCGAGAACAGATTCTTCTTAACTTGTAAATCTACTTAAATTGTAAATGTAATTGTTATGTAAGCCGATATTTTTTCAGGAAACTTACCAGAACGCTTGTAACAAATACGTAAATGAAATCGATCGTAAGTAATTAAAATTCATAATTAATTAAAAACGTGAGTATCTAATAAGTTTTTGTGTCAAGATAAAGTTAATTAAAATAAAGACGCTCTTAATAATCATGACTAGACATAAATTACTTTGGAATCTTATCTAAATAAAATTAATTTAGATTGATAATGAAGTAATTTTTCGATACGAGGTCAATAGTCGGGTTCGTGGATGATATTTAACGAGGGATGGTAACGACTTTTGTCCAGAAATGAATGAATGAAGATTAAAGTTTATACTATTTTAATAATACCATAAAAAGAGTCGGTGTATCGAGGGATTACTGTGCATTTATTTGAATGTTTTAAAAATAAAGTAAAATACAAAAACTTATTATGATCACTCGTTACAAATTAAAAATTGATAGTCGTACCCATGTATGTACATGACTGCTGCTGTGCAAATATGTATGTATTTCTATGCAGTGATCAGAATAATTTTTTATTAGTCATCCGATGTCATAGAAATGCTTTGAAATTACTTGTCGCCAGTTTCTTAGTCTAAATTATCCGTCTTTTGTAAAACCAACTTTCGTGAATAGTTTATCTACAAGTGGACAGAGATACCATAGCCGATCCAAGTCTTCATTGCACTGGCAACGACGTGATGATGATAAAATTCAATCCTGGCATGTACATTATCGAGCAGAGGATGCACGAACATAATTGGACCTCTGTAAAAGCGGTAAAAAGAAATCTATAATTTTATCTCATTAAAAAACAAAAAAAAAAACAAATTTCTTTTATACAGGGTGTCCCGAATTTAAGCGTCAAAATTTTAGGAAAATGTAGGGCACCGATAAATTAAGAAAAAAAGGCCTTTAGAGATTTGCTCGTTTTTGCTCCGTTTCGGAGAAAATCATGAAAAAGGAACAAAACAGTTTTCGTCTTTCGTCTCTCATGTATTTACACTTCATTATTTTGCTATCACTTCTTTGAGGGGCTTGGAACATCAAAAAATGAAAAAAAAATCACTTTTTCTTTATTTTTTTTTTACAAAATTTCTTTTTTTTTTTTCACAAAAAAATTCGACGACACGAACTTAGTAAAAAGAACGCGATAAAACTGTAAAAAGTATAAGGAAATACAACTGACAACTTCCTCGAAGAGAAAACAACGACAGTCAAGTTTGCGGAAGACCGGAGACGCGGTACCTTGGTCACAGCCATAGGGTACTGTTTTCTAGGGTAAAGAAGACAGTAAATTTCCGAAAAAGCAGTGCTTTAACCCCTTAACCTACGATTTACGTTCCAACAGCCTGGGCCCAAAACGTAAACAAGATCGCTCAGCCTTCGAGTCATTCTGCGGTTCGGCAAATCGGATCTAAGTTGTACCAATTGCGCACTACCGTACGTGTAATATACAACTGTTTTAATTTTGTGAAATATTTGATAAGTAATTACAACCTGATGTATAATAATAATTGTGGTAGATATAATACAACAAAAGATTTATTATCAATTAATAAAATATAACATAAATCAAAAACATAATCAGTATTTATACAAAAATCAATAATGAAAAATTAGCGTCCAAGAATAACATGTAACTGATTGTAATCACATTACAAATCGCGACCGTCGTACTACGGGCCATGTCCGTGTTACGTATGCACACCCGTTCTTTTCGAAGCTCGCGTTCATTTATTTTATCTACCCTTGGAACGTGGAGTCTGGTCTTACCGAAGTGCACCCTGCAGTTGTACCATACTTTTCTCGGAATCATCTTTTAACTCGCGTTGCGCGGATAACCCTTATCTAAACTTTCCCTAAAGCCACACAGATGTTCACCTCTGAGTAACGAAAATCTCAACCGCCAAATTTCCATATATATGGGAATCACTGACGTATCCCCCATCAATATCTAGGGGTATATAAACCCATGATTTTCGTTACTCAGGGGATTAGAACGAAACAGTTACGTGTAGAGTCACGTAGAGTAGCATCACGTTGATCATCTGCAGAGAGTGCTTCAGTGAGATCGGGCTTCGGTTCCCTTTTGTATCACAATCAACCATATAGATCCGCGTAGCCGGTTTCGATTTGGCAATAGAAGCATTCTCAACCCCCGCATCGCCAGTGCGTTAACACCGTGCAACAATTAGGTAATTAAATTCATACACTAACCGCGACAACACGACGCTGTACAATTGTATTATTAGAATTATTCAGTTTCGAATATATAATCATTTGTTAACCTTAAAAGGTCTGTTAAATCATTATTAAACCTTCACCATTGGAATAAGCAATCCTAACCAGTCCCCACAACATAATAACTTTACCGCTCGAGTTATTATTTGTTTAGAATTAATAGTAGCGAGGCTTTATCCACGACGCGTATTATATTCCAACGATACGATTCAATCCTTACCTAACCTTCCCAACGGTTACCCTTTACCGGGAGATACCGATCCTACGGTTACCCTTAATTGGGAGATACCAATTCCCAGCAGCTACCTGACTTCGCGTCAGAGTCGTCTGCGATTTCTACTCCATCCTCAATCTTTGGATCCATTGAAATAAACAGGACTAATCGTATCTTCTTCGATTCTTGAATTCAACCCACTCGCAGGGCTCACACGTGCGTCGCTATCGTCCTGGCTCGTAACACCCGTAATGTTTACGATTGGCGCGATCGATGTACTATATCGATGTAACTACGGGCCAAGCCCGTAATATTTATTTAATAAAAAAAATTTTTTTTTTTAAAAAAGTGATTTTTTTTTTAAAAAAGTGATTTTTTTTTCATTTTTTGATGTTCCAAGCCCCTTAATGCAGACTCGGTTTAAAATGATGACCTCTTGCAATAATGCATACGTGACATCTACTATCCGTTATCGCTCTCGAGATACTTGCTGCACTGTTGCCACGATTCAGTTTCCCAGTTATTCTCGCGAATTCATTGGTGTCAACTTAATTTTCTACTTCAAAACTCTAAACAGATGTAAACACTTGACGTTATGCTGTAAATTTTTATTGTTTGGAATTTTAAAGTAGAAGATTTAGTTGATACCAATCAACTCGAAAGATTAACTGAGAAGCCGAATCGTGGCTGCAGTGCAGAAAGAAGTATCTCGAGAGTAATGTCAAGGATCTAAAGGCCTTTTTTTCTTAATTTATCGGTGCTTAACATTCTACCAAAGTTTTGACACTTATTGTTAAATTAGGGACACCTTGTATAAATCTTCCAGTGTAAATATACAGCTCTTACATATAAAATACAGTCGTACATTGCTTAAAATGATGTTCTATGATACAGTTTTGATCAAAAAATGTAAATCAATTATAAACAAAGAATTTAAGGAAGGACTTTTGTGACTTCTTTTCTCACCACGAATCGATGCTGAGAAATCACACACTCTCATGCATCTCATATAGTAAATTTATTTTACAGACCAAAGGCAGTTTAGCAACATTTACTAATTTATCCTCGAGTACCGATTACCAATTTCGGTTCTACGAAATATCGGAGGATGGAGTTTCAAATCCCCAAACATCGGACATTTTCTCAACGTACAAAAGTAATCTATTATTTATGAAAGACAAACAAATTTTATTACCACATAAAATTTACGCTTTTTAATGTCTCGAGAAACAACAAATTTTTGTCGTTCGCTTTCATTAAATAATACATTTATCTCGTATATTACGAGACATTTATAAAATTTGTATTTTTCGTTAGATTTATTTATTATGGATAATAAGTTTCAAGTTAATTAATTTCGTATACGCTGGCCATTTCGTCAGCGAGTCTAGTTTATCGTGCACGAAAAACCGCATGATTTATTCTCTACGCTTTCTTTTCAGCTGATTATGTACCGCTGGCTGTGAAAAATATATCATTGCTGAATCTAGAGCCCGACGAGTGTAATCTACACGCAGAATTTTCTTTCGAACCAGCGGAAGGTAATAACTGAGGGTTTACGAATTACTCGATATATTCATGCACTTTACGCATTATTAACAAAAAGTAGGCTGAACAAGCAACGGAGAATGATGTTCATTATTTTAATATTTCAATTAAACTATTTGCAAATTATTTGCTTAAATTTAACGTTGACTTCCTATTATTTTTTAGTTTAATACTGAAATGATTAGGAGTCGAGACGTCGATAAAATAAAAGCTTGCTTTAAAGTGTGGTATTACTTTTAAATATTGTATTTTTGAAAGTGTGACTTGTCCGGTTTACGATTCTCTCATTAGAAACATGTGAAATCGTCAGCAGGTATAAGTAAACGAATAATATTTATCGACACTTACGTGCAATAGATACATTACATTAAGCAAGTATACGTCATAATTGCAGATCGCAGTTGCAGATACGACGTGGTAATCTGGCGTGGAGAACACGATTTGGAGGACTTCGTAATGGAGAATGTAATAATACTTAAAGCTACTAAATTATAATAATAATTACTAAAACGTAATTCATACACTGTAATAGCGTGTGTAGAAAATTATTCTTATCGACGCTAAGTGTTAATACTTACTTGTACTGATCGCCTCATAACAATTGCCAGCAATCGTTTTTAATCATCAGTTTTAATAACCAATATTTTATTGGCCACTCTTCTTTTCACAGAAGCCAGAGTTTCGCTTCAAAGTAGGAAACCTGATGTTCAATCGAAACAGCTCCGTAACCATTGTTTCGGTTAACAATCGTAAAAGTGACACAGGACGCAGTTTAGATAAGTCGAAGTACATAGTCACAGAACCTTGTTTAACGTACTATCCAAATAATTTAACCATCTGCGGTGAGTACGTGAAAATAAATTGAATGCATCGTCAATCGATCGATTAATTATTTAAGCGAAATGATTGAGCTCGTAAATAGTAAGAAGTTGTTACTTCTTTGGTGTAAGTTTTTAAAATAAAATTCGGAAATTGAGATAAGAGTTTGCGTTTCAGCTCCAGAAATGGTGAAAGGGTTGCAAGCCACGCATATTTATCGATACGGAGATTTTTATGATCTTAATGTCAGTTGGGATAAACCTGAACTGGAGCCAGATAATTACACTGTACAAGTCGAGGTGGGAGATGAACAAGAATATTACCTTCGTGTCGTACCCGGCGTTAGTAAAATTATCTAATTAATTGATACATGCTCGGCCTTTGTGTTCTATTGGACAACTTTAATCTAACATAACTGTTGTCTAATTAGTATAATTTTGACTTGTATTAGGTTGTCTCGAAAGTTTCTTTCGCGAGTTCCACTCAATTATTTTCTGTGGTCGTGTTTCTATAAATAGACAATCTAATTTCATGGATATTCATATTGTAACAGTAATGGAGCAAAATGAATCGTGCACAATTCAGTGATGTAACATAAAACATAAACTATTGTGCATGTATTACTTATTAATAAAGCGAAAGAAACTTTTGGGACAACCTATAGGTTGTGATATATTATAATATATCTGTAACGTCCAACCAAACTTTACCAGTGTATTTTATTAATTTGGTAGCTTTATCATTATTTCATACTTATTATTATTTTATTTATAAAATTAAACTTAACGATAATTATTTAAAAGAGCTACCGAACGAGTTAGAATACATTTTACTGTATTCTACAGTAAAATCTATTTTAAATCTGAAGTTGGATTGTAAGTAAATAATTACTAAGGAAAATTAATGAAAGAGAAGAAAAAAACTAAATAGCTTTGGTCAATATATATATACAGGGTGTTACAAAAACTGTAGGACCAATTTTGCACCAATCAAATCAAATATTTATGTAATTAGTTGTTATAGAATACAGAATAGTTCTTTTACAGAATACTACATCAGTTACCTTCTCAAACGTAAAGTTGAAACCCGCGTATGTGGTGGACATCATCGCTGACTCTTATGGAGGATCAAGCTACCCGACAGGGATCGCCAAACGTCTCGACGATAAACACGCAAGTAGATAACTTTTATTGTTAAGGGGGTATTATCGTTTAGAAACTTTAAAAATTCGATCTTTTTTCTTTTGCATTATTCTTATCATTTGGGGTTTCGAGAAAGTGCCTCTAAAATATTAATTTGAAATTCGTAGAGCTCTCATAGTTACAGAGGCTTAAAGACTGTTCACTAGTATTGGTGCTAAATGTATAGCAAACTTTAAACGCGTTATTCTCGAAACGACATTTTTCAAGTTGGGCGCACGTTTTTCTCATAAACTATTGGACCGACTGACTTCTGGTTTTACACACATTTCGAGGGCACCATCGCCTATGGTCTGAACTGAAGAATTATACCGATAGCTTGAATATTTTAGCCCTGCTCTCATATTTTAGTTGACAATTTCCCGGGAAAGTTAAACCTTAATTTTCAAACAGCTGCGATTCCGATAAAAAATTTACTACTTACTTAATTCTAGTTCAGACGATAACTACATTCATATAGATTGAAAAAAAATATTTGTTTTTCTGTCTCAGACAACTAGAACCGCCACAGCCTGTGCGCTCGATTGAACGAACGTCTCACGCCACAACCTGCATAACAAGCGCATAACTTATATAGATTTCAATCAAGTATTTCATAAAAATTTGTGTCGCTAGTTGAAACGTGTTTTATTATGCATAAAAAACTCTGGTACTGTAGGTTTGATAGTTTTCGCAAAATTAATTCCTAAAAATTACCGAAAAAACAAACTTTTAGACAATAATACCCCCTTGATAACTTAAAAGGTTGACTGGGTAATAGTATAATAAGCGAGTCAGTGGTCCGGTGGAAAAAAGAGATTTTATTGCCCGCAGTACTTTTCTGCACGCGCCAATTTCAACGACAGTCATGTGCTCACTGATTCTAGATGGCACTCGCTCTTTTTAGTTCGACAATTCCACAACATTGATATAACGCGTCAAGTCTGGACTAATTTTTCTCACAGAACAACAATACTACCTATACATTTGCATTATGTCTGTTGCAGCCATAAACATATTCTGTCGCGTACTCGTCGGAGTAGCTGTATCGATTGCAATTGTGATTCTAATTGGCACGGTTTCTTTCCAATACTACGAGCAAAGAAACAAACGTTTTTCGACGGAATGCACTCGTTTCGAGGTAAGCAATGTCATCTAAATACTTTTTGAATATTTGCAAAGAAATTGCATGTATTAATTGCACGTATTAATTTTATCTGACAACGGTTAGTAGAATACTAGGCAATTATTAATAATATTCCATTAGGAAAATTACATGTCTTGAAACTGTGACATTCAATCGTTTGAAATTAAGAGGAATTCGAGTGCTAAAATCTTGTTAAAAATGAATAATCTGTTTAACACGTTCACTATGGCATAAGAATAAATTCGCATATTCATTATTATTGTGAACAATTATGAAGTTACACGTAGCTGGACTTCGTGGATTATCTTCGAACCAATACTTCTATACCGATGAAAAATAGGATTCGAAAAGCAAGTGAAAGGAAAAATTATTTTTAAAAAGCTACACATAGTGACAGTCGAGTTTTCTCAAATTTGCTTAAACTTTCTTTTTGTAATCAAACACGAGGGTCTAGAAAAATATAAAAAGACGTCCTTTCAACGAAAATTTTTATTCTTACATCATGTATGTATTTTTTATTTTTATGTCTTATTTATTATCAGCATATATATAAATATCAATTCCATTGGTATTTTTAGTAGCCTTTCTTTCAAACTTTTTCGTGAACGATACTTTCCACTGGCGCAAGGAAACTTTAAAAAGAGGCACGAATGTGTTTAATTAGAAAGAATTGATAAAATCGAGTCTCCTGAAGTTCACGTAACCCTTTAATGAGTTTGTAGTCCGATGCACAGACGTGAACGTGTTGAGGGGTAAGGCCACTCCAGGTCCCCCAAGAATAAACTAATTTCGAGAATTTTGTTCAGAAAATTAAAAGCAGTGAAAAAGTATTTTATTAAATGCGTATCAATGTGTTGAACGAAATTTTTTTTTATATGTTTTTTCTTCTAAAATTGCCGCTTCGATACCCAAGAATTCAAAGAATCCTGTACCCGAGGCCTCAAACGGGCGAAAAGATTGAGCAGACACTAATAGCTAGTGGACGGCGTGTGAAAATTCGAAAATGCCGTTTTCTCGAAAAATGGTGCACAAATAAAAGAAAAAAAAAAAAAAAAAAAAAAAAAAAACAATTACTTTCCGAAAATTTCATCGAAAAATTGTAAAAGAAAAAGTTTACAATTTATCGTAAAATTCATACGCTATTTACTAGATGATGTATTAAAGACGTCACCCTAAAAAATTTAGGAGAATCCGACAAGATTTGTAGCAGTTATCGTTTCGCCCGATTTGAAAAATGTAGTTTCTAGAAAAGCGCGCTGTGTACTCGCCGCATGGTTGACGCGCGCTTACAAGATGCCTTGGGAAAACATTCGAAAACGACCTCTTTCAGATTTCCCCGAGCTATGAAATATTGCTTTTCTTATTCTTAAAGCTTTAAGGCGACATATTAATAAACAAACAAAAAATCGATTCTTCGAAATTTCTGGAGTGGCCTTACCCTTTAAATTGCTTCAGCAGGGTCTCAGCCCGAAGGATACGCCCCTAGAAAATGCAACGAAATTGCTGTGCAAAGATTTTGAGAATGACGTTAACAATACTTCGTTCGTACACGATAGATTCGAACTGTCGCCAAAAATGTTGACACTCGACAGTGTTATTGGTAGCGGAGCGTACGGAATCGTAAGGCTGGGCTCGTTGCGTGATAAATTCGGCAATGCTACAGACGTGGCGATCAAAATGCTCAAAGGTGTAACGACTGATCTATTTCGTAGCTTAACACATGAATTTATTAAACATTTACCAACGTTAAGAGACACTTTAACCCGTTGCGGTCTAGATTTTCTAGATTTTTTCTAAAATAAAGAAATTTCATTCCTTTTTTTTCTGCATGCCTAAACACGATCGCTACCACAAATCATACGAATGTGAGAGCTATGATCGTTTATTTTATGCTCGATACAAGTAAATCAAGTAATGGATGAAACAATTATTTCTTGTGCTTCTTTTCTTTCTTATCTATGTAATAATTTGAACGTTTAATGTTACGTCGCAGAGAATCCAAGCATGGACGATGTACAAAGTTTTCATAAAGAAATATTGATGATGCAATGCACCGGTCAACATCAAAATATAGTGTCGTTGATCGGTTGGTGTGTTTTGTACAATCGAATGGTACTGGTGGTGGAGTATTGTTGCAAAGGGGATTTACAGACCTACTTGAGAACGGTGAGAGAATATTGTAGCATTTGCCTTCTCCAATAAATTATAGTAAACAATGAACAGAGGAATTTTTTAAATATGTTTGCTTTTAAACTGATGCTAGTGCCAGATTAAATCTTTTTAATTTTGTTGAATAATAGTATCTCGTAATGATTCGAAATAGATATACTCCTTTGTTAAATGCTTGATGAATTTTTAGATATGGCAAAGTATAATGAGCGCTGCCTTTAATCAGAGAGAAAGGTTCAAAAATCACGAAGGTCCATTCTCTAACGAATTGGATTCTTTAAATCGATCTGGTATTTACCATTTAGATGAATTAAAACGATGATGTGACAAATTTCCTGAATATATTTTGATGTTTTCTCTTGTTAATTAGGTGGAAACGACGGAAATTATCAAAACATTTGTGAAATTTCGAACCGTTTGTATGATATTCAACAAGGTAATTGGGCATTTATATGTATGAGCCTTCTCGTTTTCCAAACATATTCAACTTTAAATAAAGGTTTATAGTATCAATTTTCTCCGCTGTTTATTTCACGTAGTTGATCAGTTTTGTATCTGAAAGACTTGCATACGCATTGCAAATTTGTTTGGATTTTATGTGAAATTGTATTTAAAAAATAGTACTTACCGTGTCTCATCTTCGTTAAATAATTTAACTTCATTAATACTATGGCAGATTTGAATTTATAAATAATTTATATACTGGGGATTGGCGCCATATACTCTTAAATATATATGTTGAACAAATAAACAAAATACATTCGCCCGAATCAATAAACAGAAAGTAAAAAATTTATCATTTTAATGCTAGATTAATATTTTTTCTCGTTTAATTATATTTTTGTTTCCATTGTAGACATAGGACAATGTACGGAAACGGTTACGGTAAATGATTTGCTAAATTTTGCAAGACAAATTGCCACAGGAATGGTAATAAAGTATTTATTTATTTATTCATATTGACTTATAACGTTATCATACTATTTATTAAATTCATTGACCCTGTACATGTGACGTAAATTTTATTAATCTCAGGATGTAGTATTTGCCGTTATCATTCTGAAGTCTTCCTCATTAATGCAATTAAAAGTATATATTCTTTTTCATATTGATTATAATGATATCATATAATTTATTAAATTTATTGACCCTGTACATGAAACGTAAATTTGATTAATCTCAGAGTGCAGTACTTACCGTTATCATTAAGTCTTGCTAACTAATACAGTTGTTAGATTAATTATTTAATCATTCGTTATCACCTTCTCATTGTTCAATCGTCTTGTACATCTAATTTGACTGAACATCTAAAAACTGAAAAACGATTTACAGGAATTTCTGTCTTCGAATCGAATAATACATCGTGATTTGGCAGCGCGCAACGTATTAATATGCGAGGGTGGAATCGCAAAAATTTCAGACTTCGGCCTTAGCCGCGACATTTATCAAGAGAACTTGTATAAAAAGAAGGGAAATGACAAGTTGCCTGTGAAGTGGATGGCAATCGAAGCCTTGACACATCAACTTTACACAACACAGAGCGACGTGTAAGTTAGCTGATTAATCATAAGTATTTACAAAATAAATTTCATAAATTAAATTCACAAAATAAATTCTATATAATTTATTTTCATGAGTTTATTAATTTTTTTCAACACCATTTGAATTACTTGATTGTTCCGTGATTGAATGTTTCCTATTTCTCTTATTAGCTGCCTGTTTCTATTTCAGATGGTCTTTCGGTATTTTACTGTGGGAAATTGTTACCATGGGGGCTGTCCCATATCCAGGAATTCCTACTGATACCATTTTGAAACTTCTGAAGTCTGGTTACAGGATGGAACGACCGCTGAGCTGTGGAATCGAATTGTAAATATTATATTTAAAATACAATTTTAAATTACAAAATTAATTTGTTAAATATACATACCTCAGTCTTATTTTAAAATTTGATAACAGAATGTTTACCTTAACGCAGTGTTTTCCAAATTAAGAGGGCACGAGCCTTGGCGTGGTATTTCAGTCTCAAATAAATAGGAAGAAAACATTCATTGAAATGTGAATAATTTAACATTTCTTCTGGGTTTCAGAGTGGCTTCTAAAAGATTCGGAGACCACTGCCTTTACAAGATTACTGAGCAATTTGTTTATTTACATTTCATTCTATTATAGAATCACCAAGCAATAGAACAAATAGTGATTCATCTAATAATTAAGAGTAGCAGAGTTAATGAATTTTTATCTTTTTCTTTGCAGGTATAGTATTATGCTTTCTTGCTGGAATTCACGACCTCAGAGTAGACCCACGTTTACGGAATTAAAAGAAAGTATAGACAAATTGCTATCCTCTTATGCAGATAGCAAATACATGATCCTGAGTGAAGTTTCACGGGATCAAGACCCGGCTCGTGTACTTATGGCATAAGAGTAATCAATAGCTGCAATCGAGCGAAACAGTCAACGTTCAAATAATATCCAATGCATAATTCGTCTAGTCTAATTACTGAAATAATTTATGCGCGAATTTGGTTTTCAAAGTATTTTACATCAAACGTGAGAAAGAAATTACAAATAATAAAGAGCCTTTATTTTAAACTTTTATAAAACTTTTATCCCGTCAAACTATAATTTTCATTATGAAATTCCACTTTGACGGCTTGCACTCCTTAATTAAAGAATCGCAACAAAAGGTACAAAAGCAAGGAACAGGTGGAACGTTACATACCATGTGCAAAATCGTTTATTTTCTAATTGTACGTACAATAATCTGTGGTATAACTTCTTTTCATATACATATGTGTGTATATACAATATCTTACTCTCGACCTTAAGAACTCAGGCGTAAATACATAAAAATAACTAAGGCTGTACCATATTTGTTCATGGTTACTCGACTGACAGTAACAATATTACACACAGCACATCGATACCATGCCAACCATTTTCGTTTCTACCTCTCACTTACTCGACGATCGATCATTTCGTATTAACCGATTAAACGCTCAGCATTCTTTTGTTTTTGTTCGCTAAAGTAATTCGATCGACGAATCGAGCGAACGGAAATCATGTTCACGCGAAATTCCTGTGCGATCTACGTTTTGGAAATTGAGGGGCTCTATGAGGAACTCGGTTTGTCCGTTTTCTTATCAGAATTGTAAATATAGAAATTTATATACGGTACACGGTGCTATTACGAAAGGAACTGTCGTCGTTTCTTCCTTCGATGCGCTCGGGATCGCTCGACTCCTCGATCAGGAGTAGCAAAAGTCTATTCGAAATTGATGGATGGCAAGTGAAGAGCATCGCAAAACGCGTGTTTTGTAATCTAAGCTCTACGTATGTTCGACATCGCTAAATCAATCGCTCCGTTAAAATACTAAAAATTGATATGAAAAGAGGAACTCTCTCTAACCCATGGAGCCTAATTCATTTGATAGATCCTCGTTCAGTATCACCGATTAGCTTTGTCACTTACCACGGTTTTTAAGCGTCGATGAAATATTTAACAAAATATACTTATCAATACATAAACATTTTAAGAAAACAACAAAAAATGTGATAGAAAACGTACGCTGCATGGAATTAAAGACTGAACATCACGTTTATAAAGTATACATTCGATTTTTTTCAGTTACTGTTACATTCAACTAATATTATTTTTTTTTTTTTTTTTTATACAATCCACTAATTCGTTAGCAGGCATTCAATATGCACTCGTTATTTCTAAGCGCTTTCCTTAGAAAATTCGTTGAAAAAATGACGAGCATGAAATGTGACTGAAAAAGTAACGGCGAACCGACTTTACGCTATACAATTTTTGTATCTTTCATTTGCGTCAAAGAACAATGTGTGTTCATTTTTTGTTGTTATTGTTTGTGTTCGATCTGATATATTTGCTATCGTTACAAATGTTTCGTATGGAAGAAGTAAAAGCATTTTGCGGTATTAGAATATGCGATTAACCCCTGAAAGTATATTATTAAATGTAGTATACTATAACGATTTCATGTAATGGTGATGGTAATAAAACATGGATGATGTATGGAATTTTTGAATATTTGAAAGTTGGACCAGATAGGTACAGTTCTCGCTTATAAGTCTTTAAAATACATATAATACATTCATTGAAAGTCTTCCAAGGAATATTAATTACATTTGAATACAGCAACAATAATTAATCCTCTGTGCGCCAAGAATGTGAATTCTTTAAAACATGTTTCCTTTATAGTAAAAGTAATTCATTTACGTGTTTCTCACTAAATTCTCTTTGCAATTCACATGTTATCGCATTGAAAATTGTTGCGCAACACACGAATTGTTCCGTAAGAAACATCTTATTCAACTTGTATTTTTAATTTCCAGTTGCGTATAAAGTTGCTCGAGGCTTCCAAAGGACGCACGTTTCTTCTTTACATTATTACTTTACAGATGCATGATGTCTAATCTCTAAACTGATAAATTCCTTCGATAATGGAAATTCAGTTTCGCGATAAACGCGAGTACTCGTGAGGAAATTTGCTAAGTATAAAATGAAACTTTGCACGGGTGAAGTTTGGAGTGGACAAAGGAGATTTATCTTTTTCTCGAGGGATATTCTTCTAGAAAAATTTGTTTAATAATAGACTTTCATTGAATACTATCTTCTGCCACCCGCTAACGCCGCCGCTGTAAAGAATGACATTGCTTACGTAATTACACAATCTGCCTATACAGCATAATAAAGAGTATCAGTTATATGTATCGTAATAATCTAAATATAAATGTAAATTTAACAAAAACATTATTCGATTGATAAATTCCTTAATCTTTTAAGGAGCCGAAAATCACAGGCAATGTAGTCTTTATATCGATAGGATATACCGATAGGAATTTCATGATTGGCATTCTTACTGCCACTCGGTTTTACTTTCGATGCTACCTATATCAGATACTATCATTCCTGTTAATTAAAGTATCTTCTTTGTCAACTGGTGGTGGGCCGGTGGTTAAAGTGTTACTTGGACCAGCCGTTAAATAACCAGCGGACACCGGCGTTCCAGCTATGAATTTGCAATATATATTTAAACATTTAATATACAACATATCGGGTAACATAATTGCACGCGTATCTTACCAGTAAGGTAGCCAGAATTAGTAGAATTGGAAAGGAAGAGATCATGCCGCTGATCTTTGTATTCCGCCCAGACACTCGACTTTTCTAGTATAGCATTCACTTTCTCTCCTAACAACAAACTTCTAGTCATTGCTTTTAAAGCTTTAACTATTTGAGCTTTGGTTGTTGCAGGATTTTCGATAGCGTCTAATCGCCCCTCTAATATATTCAACAGATAAGGTACCATGTCGGCATCCAATGCCTAAATAATAAAGTTTTACATAAAAATAGTGTATTTTCTCCTAGAACACTGCAAATTTGTTAGTTAACACGTTGACCGCCGCGTTGTCCACGTATGGGTGACAAGAATTTTCACTGAGGAAGTAAATAAATTAATTCTAAACATGAGGTGTTCAAGAAAATTAGTCTGGATAGAATCAGTACAGATGTTGAATTACGTCGTTTCTAATTGTATAAAAATGTAATTTTAACCTCGTAGGAATTCTCACGGTAATTAGTGTGGTAGCGAACGTGTTAAGCGCGGGTGAAACGTAAAAATCTGGAAGAGGGGTAAAATATTAGTTAAAGGCAGACAGTAGCAACTCACCTGTTTTATAAGTCTATCCTCGTTAGTTGAAAATAACCTATGTAACGTTTCGCACGCTACAGCGATCATATCTCTTCTAGATTGCATAGCATGTTTCAACGGGCTTATGCATTCCGTTTGACAAATCGACGATATACAAGTCTGAAGGTTGTACACGTAGTTTAAGTATCAACGAATAGCGTCGTGTATTTAATACAAACTACATCGACGAACTTACCTCGCTCGTTGCTAATTGATGAAGTATTAAAATCGCAGTTTTGTACACGGATGGTTGATTATTTTGCATCGCCATTTGTCGGCAGAGTCTAGGTATGTGGCCTAACGATGGAACGTGGTCTGCTAAACTTGGTTGTGCTTGGAGGAGACATACTAATGCTTGTGTTGTCAATTCCAACATATCCGGCTATTTACAGAAATATTATCAAATAAGATTTTAATCTGCATAAAAAAGAAAAAGGGAATAGGAAAAAAGGAATTTGTCCACCAAAAAGCGGTCAAATTTCTTATTCGTGGGCAGGTCGATCGTACACCTACATCAGTTTTTTCTTTGGACATAAACGTCAATGTCGTGTCCATAAGTTCGCTCAAAAATTCTTTAGGTTTCCTAAGAGCCCACGCAGGACTCGCTATAAATAATCTGAGATATACACCTCCCACTACAGGTTCGTTTGTTGCTATATCGATATTACTTTGAGTCTCGGGTAACTTTAATACAGCATTAGGATTTCTCCTCTGCAACGCGTAATATCTGGAAGAAATTATGCTCTGTATAAATTGACAAGATAATCAAGAAGACGTGTGTATTTTCGAGCAACGTTCACATACTCGTCTTTTAATTCTGTTACGATCCTAGAAGCTCTAGCTTTGGCATTATCATCCCAAATCAGTTCAGGATTCTCGTGTTTCGTTTCGAACATGTGCACGCACTGTTTAGGGGCATCTCGTATCGCCTCGCTAAATAATCTCGGCAAAAATTTCGACAAGTCCAGTTTTACTTTCGGCCCAGCTAATTTGTCCGACGACATTTTCCCAAGCATTTCCGCGGCCGCTTCGCGTATTTGAGTATTACTTGAATTACAGAATAGATCGAGAACATAGACGACGGCTCCTAAAAATTCCCACAATCTTTGTTTTAAAGGAGATAATAAGATACAGGTATAGTATCGGGTGTGTGCGAATGTTCCTGCGTTTTTCGAAAACCCGTTTTCCTTTGGATTATTGACACTACAGACCACGTGCTATGGAAATTAGAGCGTGTTTTCCCCCAACCTTAGGCTTTGCAAGGCATTTTATTGTTTGAGCGAAAAATTCAGTTTAGTATGGTTTAGTGTGAGACGAAATGTAAGTCGATAAAATGCATGTACGCCATTGTTTACTGTTCGAGTACAATCAGGGGCGACTGATGCTCATCAAAAACTGTGTGAAATTTATGGTGACAATATTATTTCTTTACGTGCGTGTCAAGTTTGGTTTTGTCGCTTTCGTGAAGAAAACAGAAATGTCAAAAATATGCCCCGTCCCGGAAGACCACGCGATGTTGACAAGGACGATTTGCTTGAAATTTTGCAACAAGAGGACAAAGTAACGCCGTTGAAAAATAAATATTCTTTTCAACCTCAGAACTATATTTAAAAAAAAAAACGCACGAACTTTCGCACACACCCAATCAAACTAATGTTCGTCTACCTTTGGACAGTGCTTCTTTGACGATTTTCGTCGAGCTCATCAGAGCATATAATGTTTCAAGTATAAGAAGCTGGCACTCTTTTAAAGTATTTAAAGATAACAACAAATGCACTATAACTTCATTTGCCGCGATATCGTCCACGCATTCTTGATTTTTCGTGACGTTGTTGATCACTTCGAGCGCGCTTCTTTGAATCAACTTGAAATTATTGCAACTTAACAGTACGAATAATAATCTGAAATGCCCTATGCATTGTAATTCGATTCCTGGATTATTTTTAATCACATTTCTCAACGCTTCCAGAGACATGGCGATATGCTCCAGTTTCTCGTGATCTTTCTTAACTAATGCTACATTCCCCAGAGACGCCAAGTACTCCCACGAACTAGATAGAAAGTCGAGTAAATTGATCGTAAAGCTCTTAGGGTTCTGTAACATATTAATCGTTTTAACCACAAATGTTTGTTTCATTATCTCGTTTCTTCGAAAGGAGAATATATTACCTCTATCGGAAATACGGGTTGTTCATTGTATATTTTTACAAATATCTCCCCGATAATAAGTTCGTCGGCATGAATGCTGTACTTGAAGTCGCTAAAGTCATGCTCAAAGGCCTCACTGCCATTCAATCGTTCCTGTCGCTTAGCTTCCAGATATTCGTTTAATTCTGCTCTAGTTCCGTTATCCCAAATTAGATAAGGATTCGAGCAATTAGAGTTCAAGATTTTCAGTATATCCTCCGGCTTATTCTTTGCTAGTTGACGCGAGAGATACGGTGTTAACAGACTTTCTAAAGCGGCTACCGTGACAGGATTGATAGGCGTTTCGTTTTCTCCGGTCGCGTAACCGCCTAATCGAACGCAAGCTCGGACAGCCAATTTAGCCAAGTTATTCGCCACTTCTTGGCGATTGTCATCCTGGCTCCTTTCCACCCCGCCTTCTTCCAACGTATAGTCGTAATTAAACATAAACAGCAGTAAATGCCACAGAGCACCGGATTGTAGCAATTGCATTTGCAACACGCTGTCCGTAGCAAGAGAGGAGATACATTCTGTAGCCACCGAGCATAACTTTGTTAAATGCTGTGAACAGGACGGCGTATAAATTTCTATAATTTTATTCAAAAGGTACAAGCAAACTTCATTTTGAATAAAATTAACGCATTCGCGACCGCTGACGTGAATTCACTTCACTTTGAATTCACTTCATTTTGAATTTTATTCCTGGTTGTGAAACAATGATGAAAATACTTTTTATTTTATACGCTACGTATTTACAACATTGATATTTCAAAACATATTTTGTAATTTTTATCTTCGCTCTAACGATACAATCTGTGATGTCCAGCTTCAAAATTTTATTACTTTCGTCGCTATAGTAGTCTCCTTAAATCCATAGCCTCGGGAATGAACTTGTGCGTTTATCGTAGAGTTCGTATATTCTCTGATGTTTGCCAACAAACTTCGAGTGTAGACAAGGACACCGAATG